TAAATGACCACAGAAAAGAATTAGACAAGAATGTGGACGATAGGTATATAAACACAATGAATTGTGCTAAATTAAATGAACTCATCAGGTTCAGGTGTGCCTGCTTCTGGAAGCTTGCTTCCAGATGCATTGCTTCCTGAAATATGGCAGTGGTCAGTCATGGCAGTGGAGGAGCTTATGGTGGAAGGCACCCTGGGCAACCCTGGAGGAGAAGGAGCAGGAGGCAGCGGAAGTGAGACTTGACAGACTTTAAACAGAAGCCTGGGCAACTTCTGTGAATCTGCAATGTCCCGCTCAAAGCAGGGCGGTTGAGTAGACTGTCAAATTTCTATGTAAACAAGTGGGCTGGCTGCAGCACAAAGATGGTGGAAGAGTCACAGATCAGGTGATGTGGGTGGGAGAAAGGGTGAGGGGAGAGACTCCATCAGGCAAGGCCTTATTCCACCTGCCTCCCCCAGCCCTGGTCCTGGGACTCCTCATAAGGAAACTGGTCCTTGAAGAAGAACTGTGAGGGGAGAGATTCCATCAGGCAAGGCCTCCTTCCTCCTGCCTTGCCCCACCCTCCAGTCTCTGCTTCTCATTTTGTATTGTATTATGTTGCACACTGTGGCTTGATGTTATTTTACTGATTGGATTTAGAAATTGCTTATTGTAGGAGTGGATTTCTGTGTAATTTTGAAATGCTGATATCTAATATTATTCTATATTATTTTAATGAATGTTGTCAGGGCTGCCTCAAGTCTCAGCTCACAAAAGACCAACGCCAATGTCTTCTTATATACAAAAGTGTTTATTGCAGTTCATTGTTTGCTCGACATCCTAGGCGCGCAGCCCTACGTCTGCTACGCTTAGACCGCTGAAGTCCCCTCTGAATCCGTCCCTCCCCTACACCAGTTTAAGATGCTTGTGCTGCTCCACCTCTTTCTCTCTTTCCTTTTCCGCAGGGTCCTTCTGCCCGCTGGGGTTTCGCCCCTCCTGGATTCCTCTGACGCGGAATCAGACTGCTCTTGCCCCCTCCTGCGGGCTTTGGGACCTGGCCCCTCCTCCGGGCTCCCTGTACTTCCGCGCGCCTCTACATTTGAACTTGGCTCGCGCGCCCAGCCTCTAACCTTCCTTTCAACAGCTACACTACTCCCTTCACTGCTCCCCTCCCCTTCCGGGAGGATGGCTTGCTCCGACCTCCCTCCTTTCTCTGCTGCCGGAGCCTCTTCCCCTGACACACTGACACCTCCACCCCCTTTGCTGCACTCTGGCGGGGAGGCTGGTCCTGACACCCAGCTGCCGCTTTGGGATGCCCAGCTGGCCCCCTGCTCCTGACACGTCCCCCCTGGGGCTCCTGGGCTTGACCACCGGCGCCCCCTTCTGGGAATCCTCTGATTCGCTGGAAAGACTCATGGAATCTCTTGAGTAATTGTCTTCCTCTTCCTCGCTGTCCTGGGATTCATCCCCATCGCTCTCCATCTCCTGCCTACCCTGTGCCTCTGTCCCTGAACCCCTGACATCCATCCCCCCCTCGAAGCCCCCCCTTCCCCCCTCCCGCTGCTCGGGCGCAGGTTCCGGGAGCTCCGTTGTAGCGGGGGTAGATGCTGGATACAGTTCGTCGACGTCGATCTCCTCTGCTTCCAGTTCAGTGTATGAGTGCTCGAAACCGGGGTCCTCCCCCACACATCCAAACCCTTCCCTCCCCCTGTTACTTCAGGCGATGCTGCTTGCCAAGGCCCCCTTCGCCACCCCACTTCTGGTTGATCGTCCCACCAAGAAGAGCGGTCCGTGTCCACGCCCGAGCAAGATCCCCGTGGTGGGCTCGTTTGCGGCGAGGTCTCCTCCGCGGAGGAGAACCCCGGAAGGTGCTGCCTGAAAGTGTGGGCGTAAAAAGCCAGTCATCAAAATACTCCGCTGGCATGGGCCTGTGTGGGAAGAGTGCATGGAACTCGTCTTTAAGAAGAGGTTCGTCCAGAGCATAATCTGGCACCCAACTGTTGGCGCTGGCCGGGGTACCTTCCCTGGCGAGGAGGTATTCCACTCCCTCCTCCCCCCATCTCGAGTCCAGAATTTCCATAACCTCGTTGAGTGTCGAGGTCCTCGGTGACTTCCCCCCCCCTGGTGACTCTCTACGTGGGTCTGGTGCCGTCCCTGGCTCCTGAAATCTGTGTGGGGCCTTGTAGGGTGTAAGCACCGACCTATGAAAGACCGGGTGCATTCTGGAATCTTCTGGGAGGGTCAACCGAAAAGCTACGGGATTGATCCTGCCCTCAACTTGGTATGGCCCTAGCTGTTTGTGTCCTAGCTTCTTCTTAGCTAACGACTTGGCCGGCACCGCCTGGGCTGCTAACCAGACCCAGTCCCCCACCTGGATGTCTTCTCCTGCCCTCCTGTGCCTGTCTGCCTGCACTTTGTAGGCGTGTTTAGCTAGTTCTAAGTGCCGTCGTAGCTCCTCGTGGACCTCCTGCAATTCTGCTGCTAAATGCTCAGCTCCCTGCGACTCCCCTTGCGTCGTTGTCTCCAACGCCGGGAAGGTTCTGGGATGTCGCCCATTGTTGGCGAAGAACGGTGTCACCCCCCGTTGACGCGTGCTTCGTGTTGTTGTAAGCAAACTCGGCCATCGGTAAGTAGTCCACCCAAGTTGCAGGCTTTTGATTGGCGTAACATCGCAGGTACTGCTGCATGATGGCGTTGACCCTCTCCGCTTGGCCGTTGGTTTGCGGGTGTCTCGCCGACGCTAAGTTGATCTTGACATTCAGGATGCCCAGGAGCTTCTGCCAGAAACTGGAAATGAATTGGCGACCTCGGTTGGACAGGATGGACTGTGGTAAGCCGTGCACCCGGAACACGTGGTCTATGAACAGCTTGGCGGTCTGTTCCACTGTTGCCACCTTCGCACAAGGAATGAAGTGCGCCATTTTGGTGAACAGATCTACAACCACAAGCACCGCCGTCTTGCCCCGCGAACTGGGCAGATCAGTAACAAAGTCCAGCGCCACCCTTTCCCACGGCTGCATTGGCGTCTCCAGCGGTTCCAGCAATCCCGCTGGCTTCTTGTGCACTGGCTTGGACCTCTGACAAGTGTCACACCTGGCAACGTAATCCGCGACCTCTCCCCGCATCTGGGGCCACCAAAAGTCTCTGGCTACTAAGTCCGCCGTCTTTTCTTTGCCGAAGTGACCCGCGCTGGGTGCGTCGTGTAACTGCTGTAAAACCTTCGCGCGGAGATCGTCTCCCGGCACGTAGAGAGCACCTTTGCGGGTCAGCAGGCCGTTGCGTATCTGGAATTCGCCGTCCTTTGCTGTCCCTCTTCGCACCTCCTCCATCTTGGATTGTGCGAACGGATCCGTCTTTAGCGCGCGTCGTACCGCGTCCAGGTCCACGGCGGCGGAGCGCACGCCCACGCTTGCGGTGCGAAAATGTGCCTGGCTGCCACTGGTGCCGCTTCCTCGAGATACTGCGGTTTCCTGGAGAGCGCATCCGCTATGACGTTGTTGTCTCCCGGGATATACTCTATCCGGAAATCGAAATCCGCAAAGAACTCCGCCCATCTCATGTGCCTCTGGCTCTGGAGCTTCGCCGTGCGCCAATACTCTAGGTTCTTGTGGTCCGTGTGGACCTGCACGGTGTGCTTGGCTCCGATGAGGAAATGCCGCCACGCCTTGAAAGCCGCGTGGATGGCCACCAACTCCCTGGCCCAGCGGGTGTAGTTCTGTTCCGACTTGCTGAGCTTCCGGGAATAGAAAGCGCAGGGCCTCCAGTTCCCTTGCGGATCTTCCTGCAAGAGGACGGCCCTCACTGCTCTGTCAGATGCGTCAGTCTCAACCCGCATGGGCCTGCCGGGATTCATGTGTAGCAGCTGGTCTTCGGACGCGAAGAGACTCTTAAGTCTCCTGAAGGACTGCTCCGCCTGGTCCGTCCAGGTGAACTTCTTCTTCTTGGAACTGAGGGTGTCCGTGATAGCTGCCGTCTCTTTCGTGAAACCCCTGATGAACTTGCGGTAAAAGTTGGCGAAGCCGGCGAGACCTCTGGACCTCCTTCCGATTGCGCGGGCTATTCCAGTCCAACACCGCGCGGACTTTGGCGCTGTCCATGGCTAGTCCTTTGTCGGACAGCCGGTAGCCCAGGAAATCCACCTCCGTCACGTCGAACTGGCACTTCTCCAACTTGGCGTAGAGTCTGTGCTCCCGTAGCCTCTGCAGGACCTCCTTTACGTCTCTTTCATGAGTCTCCTGCGATTCTGAGAAGATCAGAATATCGTCGAGAAAGCATACGCACTTCTTGTAGAGGAGTCCTGCTAGCACGTGGTGCATGAATGCTTGGAAACAGTGGGAGCCACCTTGGAGACCAAACGGCATAACTCTGTATTCATAGGTGCCCAGCGGCGTGAACATGGCCGTCTTCCACTCGTCACCTTCCCTCATGCGTATTAGATTGTATGCTCCGCGTAGATCCAACTTGGTAAAGATCCTCCCCTTCCTCACCGTCGCGAGCAGGTCGTCAATCTTGGGCATGGGGAAAGCCTTGGGCTTTGTCATCGAGTTTATGGCCCTATAGTCCACAATGAGCCGTTTTTGGGGCGTGTCCTTCTTCTTCACGAAAAACACAGGACTGCCCCCACTGCCTTGGATTCTCGGATGAATCCCGCTTCAAATTGTGATCTATGAACTCCCTGAGTTCCTGCATCTCATCTTCAGACATGGAATACAGCTTCGCAGTCGGCAGCGTCGCCCCTGGTAAGAGGTCAATTGCACAGTCGTAGGGCCGGTGGGGTGGTAATTGGTCAGCTTCCTTCTCGCAGAAGACCTCCAAAAACCCCTTGTACTTGTGGGGCACTGCCTGCACCATGCCTAGATGCAGCTGTTGCCCTTCCTCCTGGCCCTCCTCCTCCTGGCCGATCTGGATGCAATGTTGTGCGCAGTATGACCGAGCCAAAGGTGAGCTGCCGCTGGTACCACGCCAATGATGGGCTGTGTCTGTCCAGCCAACTCATGCCTAACACTATGGGCATGTCTGACAGTTGGGTGACATTGAAACTGATGACCTCGCGATGATTCCCAATTTTCAGCAGCATGGGTGGCATCTGTTGTACCACTTGCCCACCCAGCAACTTCCTGCCATCCACGGTGACCACGTTCAGAGGCAGCGTGGCTGGTAGTAGCGCTATGCGATGCTGCCTGATGAACTGCATCCCCACGAAGTCTGCGTTGCTCCCTGAGTCAATCGTAATGGGGACTTCCAGGGTGAGTCCATTAGGCAGCTGGAGAGTAGCAGTGAGCTGCACCACTGGCTTGGGTGGTAAGGGGTCTGTAGGCTGCAAAGCACTGGGGACTGCATCACTGACTTGCCTGGCGGAGCCCCAGCATCTCTGCCTCCAGCCAGGCATTCTCGTTTCCCTGAAACTGTTCCCCCTTGGAAAGCTTCCCCTGTTACTGTTGCTAAGGCTGCAGTGTGCTTCTGGAGCCTCTGGGGACACTCTTTAGCCATGTGCCGTGCACTGTCACAGATGTAACACTTCCTGGTCCCTCTAGGAGGCTTCGCCTTGACTGCTCCGGACGCTGAGGCTCCGGCAGCTGTCTGAGCCTTTGCACCACCCAGCTCCATTGGTTCTTCCCCCCCTTTCAGCATAAGTGAGGGGTTTGCACTTCCCAGGTCCCTGGGAGGAAAAGGAGGCGCTCTAGCTGGTGGGCGGACGTGACGCCCCTCCTCACTGTGCCAAGGGCGTTCTTCGTGGCGCACCCCTATCGTGAGTGCCCTCTGCACGACGTCTGCTAGGGTTTGAGGTCTGTCTCCCCTAGCCAGCTCATCTTTTACTGAGCCATGAAGCCCCTCCCAGAACAAGTCCCTCACTGCCAGGGAGTCCTTTTCCCAGCCCAACACATTCAGCAATGCAAAAAAGCGAGAATGGTACTGACGCACTGTAGCCTTGCCCTGCCGCAATCCATGCATCTCCTGGCGCGCCACATCAACGTCAACGGTAGATTGGAAGCAAGCGTCCATGGCTTTGATAAATTCGTCAGAGTCCCTGCGTGCAAGACCATCTTCGCGCCACAAATTGCGTAACCAGGTTCTAGCTTCCCCATGCAAATGGGACACAATGAAGCCTACTTTCTCCTCCTCATCTTTGAAGTCTTTTCGAAGCAAATGCAGCGCGTATACGACGTCTGCTCTGAAATTGGGATAATGCTTCAGGTTCCCATCGAAGTGGGCTACTAAATTGCCCCCCCTCCGTCCGAGTCCGATTCCCTCTGATCTGGACCCTGGGAACCCCTCTTTGCACGCCCGATCCCACCTGGCTTGCAGATCCTGGCATCGCGCTTCTGCGTCGGCAACTGTCTTCTGAGAGACCCGTACTGCAACGGAGAGTTCAGTGACTGCGTTTTGCAGGGTCGTTATCTGCTCCTCAGTAGCCATCGCTGCCAAACTTCGTGAGCTGTGCAAAAAAAAAATTTGCGGTTTTTTGAGAGGGGACTTACTGTCAGGGCTGCCTCAAGTCTCAGCTCACAAAAGACCAACGCCAATGTCTTCTTATATACAAAAGTGTTTATTGCAGTTCATTGTTTGCTCGACATCCTAGGCGCGCAGCCCTACGTCTGCTACGCTTAGACCGCTGAAGTCCCCTCTGAATCCGTCCCTCCCCTACACCAGTTTAAGATGCTTGTGCTGCTCCACCTCTTTCTCTCTTTCCTTTTCCGCAGGGTCCTTCTGCCCGCTGGGGTTTCGCCCCTCCTGGATTCCTCTGACGCGGAATCAGACTGCTCTTGCCCCCTCCTGCGGGCTTTGGGACCTGGCCCCTCCTCCGGGCTCCCTGTACTTCCGCGCGCCTCTACATTTGAACTTGGCTCGCGCGCCCAGCCCCTACCTTCCTTTCAACAGCTACACTACTCCCTTCACTGCTCCCCTCCCCTTCCGGGAGGATGGCTTGCTCCGACCTCCCTCCTTTCTCTGCTGCCGGAGCCTCTTCCCCTGACACACTGACACCTCCACCCCCTTTGCTGCACTCTGGCGGGGAGGCTGGTCCTGACACCCAGCTGCCGCTTTGGGATGCCCAGCTGGCCCCCTGCTCCTGACACGTCCCCCCTGGGGCTCCCCTGGGCTTGACCACCGGCGCCCCCTTCTGGGAATCCTCTGATTCGCTGGAAAGACTCATGGAATCTCTTGAGTAATTGTCTTCCTCTTCCTCGCTGTCCTGGGATTCATCCCCATCGCTCTCCATCTCCTGCCTACCCTGTGCCTCTGTCCCTGAACCCCTGACAAATGTTGAATGTTATTTTATTTGAATATTGTATATTGTCTTATGCATATTGTCTTATTTATATGATGTTAGCTGCTCTGAGCCTGGCTTTGGCTGGGGAGGGCGGGATACAAATAAAATTTATTATTACTATTATTATTATTAGAATTGGGTGGGGGAGACAAAATGAGTGTGTGGATTGTGTATGTGTGTCCTGCTTTCCCATCCCAAAATGTTGGATGGTGTGCTTTAAAATACCTCTTCCTTTTTTCACAATGCAGTTGATATTCCCACATGCACACATATCTATAGGCAAGGTCAGTTCTATGATTAGGCAATGTAAGGAAATAATCTCACAAAGCAGGGGCAGGGTGGATCTGTGTGTTCTGTGTGGCCTGCCCTTCACCCCTGCTGCCCTCATGTATGTTGCTAATAAGCTTCAACTGTCAGAGCAGCCAGCTTCTGTACAGCCAAAGGAGACGCCAACTTGTTCACTAAGTTGGTGAACAAATATCACAACTGGATATATGTACAGTGGTGCCCCGCAAGACGAATGCCTCGCAAGACGAAAAACCCGCTAGACGAAAGGGTTTTCCGTTTATTGATGTGCTTTGCAAGACGAATTTCCCTATGGGCTTGCTTCGCAAGACGAAAACGTCTTGCGAGTCTTGCGATTTTTTTCGCTTTCCCCCCCTTTTTCTAAGCCGCTAAGCCGCTAAGCCTTTAATAGCTGCTAAACCGCTAAACCGCTAATAGCGCTAATCCGCTAAGCCGCTAATAGGGTTGCTTCGCAAGACGAAAAAACCGCTAGACGAAGAGACTTGCGGAACGGATTATTTTCGTCTTGCGAGGCACCACTGTAATGTTAAAGTGCTGTCTAAAATATGTAAGATATTATTGAAATGGGAGGAAAGGATGAGAAAGTAAAATCTTCAGTGACACATTGGGCAATAGATATTGTTTATAATATAGATTTGGAAGCATGCAAACAACTGTGGAATATGGATATAAAAATTTACAGCATTTTATGGATTTAGAGACAATTACATGAAAATGTTATATAGATGGTATCTAAGACCTAATAGATTGGCAAAAATATATATTAATCAAAGTCGAATAAGTGTTGGAATTGTAAAGAGAAAGAAGGTACCTTTTATCATATGTGGTGGTCTTGTAGCAAGGTTAAAGCTTAGCGGGAAATGATATACTGTATAATGAATTGAAAAAGATGTTTAAGATAATATTTGGGGGCGGGCGGGACCCAGAAGCTTTTCTCTTGGGAATTATAGCTGTAGAACTACCTAAACAGTATAAAAAATTATTTATGTATGCAACTACAGCTGCAAGAATGTTACTTACCCAAAAATAGAAAGAAGAAGTCATCCTGACAAGAGAAGAATGGATACAAAAACTTATGGACTATGCAGAAATGGAAAAACTTTCCAGAAGAATTAGAAAACAAGATAACAAACTTTTAATAAAAGAATGGAAATAGTTTATTGAATATTTTCAAACAAATTTTAAACAGATAAAGACATTGGCAGGATTATTGTAATAACCCGAGTTTCAATACAACATATAATTAAAATAGATGAAACAACAACAACAACTTATACAATTTATACCCCGCCCATCCGGCTGGGTTCCACCAGCCACTCTGGGTGGCTTCCAACAAAATATTAAAAATACAATCAACCATCAGACATTAAAAACTTCCGTAAAAGGTCTGCATTTAAAAGTCAAGGCTGACTTCTAAAAGTCAGGTAGTTGTTTATTTCCTTGACATCTGAAGGGAGGGTGATCCACAAGGCGGGCACCAGCACTGAGAAGACCCTCTGCCTGGTTCCCTGTAGCTTCATTTCTCTCAGTGAGGAAACTGCCAGTAGGATCTCATTGTCCAGGATGAACGATGGGGGTGGAGATGCTCCTTCAGGTACTGAGTATAAAAGAATAAGTTAATTTAGAATATGCAGGAAATGATTAAAATAAATTTAAGAAGCCACAAATGAGGAGGAAGGAAGTCAAGGTTTGAAATGTTACAACTATTGTTGAAATATAAAAATGTATATAAATACTACTACTACAGTGGTGCCCCGCAAGACGAATGCCTCGCAAGACGAAAAACCCGCTAGACGAAAGGGTTTTCCGTTTTTCGATTCGCTTCGCAAGACGAATTTCCCTATGGGCTTGCTTCGCAAGACGAAAACGTCTTGCGAGTCTTGCGATTTTTTTCGCTTCCCCCCCCTTTTTCTAAGCCGCTAATAGCCTTTTAGCCGCTATGCCGCTAAGCCTTTAATAGCCGCTAAACCGCTAATAGCGCTAATCCGCTAATAGGGTTGCTTCGCAAGACGAAAAAACCGCTAGACGAAGAGACTCGCGGAACGGATTATTTTCGTCTTGCGAGGCACCACTGTACTACTACTACCTTACCTTTCCCACCCCGACCTGGCCACAGTGATCCATGGGATGATCCTCTCCAGGCTCGACTACTGTAATTTGCTCTACGCGGGGCTGCCCTTGAAGCTGACCCAGAAACTCCAGCGGGTGCAGAATGCTGCAGCGAGGCTCCTCACGGGGTCTCTGCCATGGGAGCATATTCACCCAGTGCTTTTCCAGCTGCACAGGCTCCCGGTGGAGTACAGGGTCAGATTTAAGGTGCTGCTTTTGACCTTTAAAGCCCTTCATGGCCTAGGACCCTCATACCTACGGGACTGCCTCTCCTGGTATGCCCCACGGAGAGCCTCAAGGTCCATAAATAGCAACACCCTAGTGTCCCGGGCTCTAAGGAAGTTAGATTAGCTTCAACCAGAGCCAGGGCCTTTTCAACTCTGGCCCCGGCCTGGTGGAACGCTCTGCCTCATGAGACCAGGGCCCTGCAGGATCTGATTTCTTTCCGCAGGGCCTGTAAGACAGAGTTGTTCCGTCTGGCCTTTGGCTTGGAGCCAATTTGACTCCCTCCCTCTCTCTTTTTTCTTTTCCTTCTCCTCCTGCGATGAGGCTACATTTTAATATTTTAATGTTTCAATATTTTAATGTTGTATTTTAATTTTGTTTTTAAGTTGTAATCATTCAACTTGTTT